AACATGCATTGTAAATCCATCAGCGACGGCGATACTTCAAGAAGACAAAACTCACACCAAAGAACCATCATCGAAAGTCGAAGACTGAAACTGAAGATTAGAGACTGGCGAGTACGTGATCTGAAGCGGTATTCAGTGATTACAACCTGGTCTACGCGTGTGTGAAGATTGCCCAAGCATCAGCGAATGCTGAAGAGACCTTCAGGTCATTCCAGCATTCAGCGATCAAAAGAAGCTTGTTGAGCATGATTGTTTTTGTCTTGTCCTTATACACACAAAGGACAAACTCATACCTTTTTTAAAGTATAGTACGGTACAAAAGCCGATTAGTTGACTCTACTACCCCACCAACTTTGTGAAAATGATATCTGCTCATGAATAGGCTTTTGTACTATTTCTGTAGCAAATGACAAGTCTTTCTCTAAAGGCTTGACACGTGTTCTAACCCTACTACGTTGCATTAAATGTGCATTTAATGCAATGAGTATAAATAGATGTGTTTTATCTTCATGCAGAGATACTGATACTTATTCTTGAATCCTAACTTACGTTCATAAGTAAAAGAATACACATCTAAGAACACAATACGCTTATATTCAATAGCAAGTTAGAATCCCTTTTTGTATTCTACAATAGTTCTTACCCAGAAAGAACTAACATCCTTCTAAGTCTTTTACAGTAAATCTTTTCTCTATTTTCTAAGAACTAGTGTGTAACTTTAGATTGTTTAGATATGTTTTATTTACCTTATCTTTCCGCAAACAATCTTATAAAATCTGTATTGATCCTTCTTCATCAATATATATTTTAAATTGGAAAAGTTTATTGTGTTTGTATTCATCCCCCTTTCTACAAACTGTTATACACATCTTGTAAACCCTAACGGGACCAACAACTACATGCATCACACACATCATCAAACAAATTGGGTCACACACATGTCTATATAGAAGCATCATCATTGTAACCCATAACCATCTTTGTGTATGTGTGTGTTAAGGAACCATCATCCTTTATATATCTCTCTTTCTCTCTCATCTACTACTGCTTCGACCGAAACCCTGTCATGGTGCATCGACTACCGCTGCTCATCGTTCGCCCATAATGTTGTCGTCACCCTCCCCTGCTGTTGATGTCCTCGCCCTCCCCTTTTTTTCATCAACTGATACTAACTGAAGCATAAGGATTTCAATAGTTTAGGGATGTTCTTTTTTTTTTCCATGTAGGATGAATATATGTTAGAAGACATATGGTTTTTTGGTTTTTGAAGATTTGTGGGTTTTTCTTGTTTGAAGATTTGTAGGGTTTTTTTGTTATTCTTTTAGGGTTTGAAACTATTTCATACTATAACTTAGGGGTTTCAATTTAAAATATATGGATTTCGTATTTGAATTTACACGAGTTATGTATTTTGATTTAAAAAACACATGGAATTCTATTTGTTGTTTGGATTTGTGGTAACAGGTGGGTGGTGATTCAGTTGATTTCAGTGGAATGAACGATGAGTGTAAAAGATAAAAAAAAACAAATAATTAAAATAATAATAATTCAAGGACAAAATGATAAAATTGCGCTCATGTGACTGGGCACATGAAGGTACTTAATGGTTGAAAGTTATAGTCTATTAGCAAGAAGAAGTAAAACCAAAACAAGAGTCTGTTAGCAAGAAGAACTAAAATCAAAACAGAAACCGCACCATAAGTTTTTTCTTCATATAAACAAAGTAAATGGAAGGAAACCAATAAACCAAAATTATACAAGAATCTAATAATATCTTACCCAGATTATTCTTAACTAAACGGATACCCAACTTTTCCTCATACTCGTAGGGGATTGGACAGTGCGAAGGGGAGGCAGGATATGAGGCATATTCAGGGAGCAAGGATAGGAACGAGGAGTGCATTCCTCGCCCCATTTTCATCCCCATGTAATTGGCACTCTCATTCTAACAGGAAAAGTTATAAAGCTCATTAATGTAGTGTTAACATTTTTAAATGGACGTCACTTGGCTAACGATCTCTTTTCGTGTTGTTCCACTCATGATCGATCATTCTTTGAATATTTAATATGTATTGAAACATAACTATCAATAGACTTTAGTTTTTTGCTTATGTCATTTTAGTACGTGTTAGTGCATAACTTCAATATTTTCTTCCTTCTAAAATCAATCCAAGCACTATTCGGAACAACGTTCATTTTCATCTCTTTCCCAATGCAAACCACACTCACAAGATTCCCCTACTCAAATCCTTACCGAGTACTATTACCAGTATTACTTGACGTTTTTCACGACACCAAAGACTTCAAAAAGTTATATAGGTACAATGAACGACTCGACGAAGCTAAAGACAAATCTAATGTCACTAATCATTCTTTTTTTGGAAAGGTGTCCCAGGTTATGCCTGGACTAATGACGAAAAATTGTGATTGCAATAAATCAATCATGGTAAATTCAGTGGCCACAACTGTTGTGTACGCTTGGAATCGAACTCTGAGCAAATGTGATATTCCACCACATTCCTCAGGACCTGAACCGCTACGCCACAACCATTGTGGTTCTAATCATTCTTTTGTAGGCTTTATTTATGGTTGTTGTCATGAAGTTTGAGAATTTTGTTTTTTTTATTAAACATGGACAATTATAAGAATATTATTGCATCAACGATCGTTTAAAAACATAAAAGCTAAACGATTACTTGAAAAACTAATCAGCAGATAAGTTAAATAGAGAAAAATAATAATATTCATCTACATTTTTGTTAGACATAAAGCTATGCCCTTCGCAAGATTTTGTTAGCAAAAGGAAAATGTGTGTTGTGTATATGGAAGTAGATATGGGCAAAGGGGTTCCTATCTCGTATCCGGTCCTGATTAACCTATTTCGTTCCTGAAGCACAGGATGTTACGACCCAATCAATTGGTGTCGGTTACATAACCGGTCACCCCAACTAGTTACTACATTTGAAAATCAAATTATTCACAACCAAGCCTCCATAATCAGCCACCATAACTGGACCCAATGCCCTGAAGGACTAGTTTTTGGAATTTCTGCACATGCTACAAGTCATGTTGTGAGTAGCCAACGAACTTACCCTTTTTTGTCTTTCTTAAGACTTCTTAAATCTCTCAATCTCGCACTTACTTCAGGAATCCATCATTAATGTCAGATCACGGAATACCAGTTTACAATCAAATCATAATGGAACATGAACATCAACTTCAAGAATCAAATAATGATGATATTTAATAGAAGCTTTTCACGTATTTCTAAACAATTGACAAGTTTACATTTCTTTATTTGTATTTATAAGCAAATACATAATAACTTATTATAATAAAAAAGGTATTAATTATTGTTTAATATATTTATTATTTATAGATGCTAAAAATTAAATTATAACAAACAACGGACCATTATAACCAGTTACAACTGGGGACTCCTTTTTTCTAATCATAACCATGACCGAGCTAACATATTACAAACGGGTAGCAATCATATGTTAGGAAATTTTGTGGGTTGGAAGTTTGTCTTCTATCCCACGTTGGTAGAAAAAGATTTTCTAGAGAAGCTTACAAGGCTTTCTCTAGAAATGGGCTCTAAACAAGTTGGTGGACTCATGGTGGGGTCTTGAGTGGAAGGTCCAACACACACACACGCGCATGGCCGTGGCCGAGGCCGAGGCCGAGGGCGCAGGATTCGCGAAGGTGGCGCGCTTTGCACGCCGCATCAGAGCAGAAGGAGCCTCGCCCCGAGCTCCGAGTATCTTTTTGATACAAAATCGAGAGAAGAAGAAAAATTAACAGTTTTTTTTTTTAAATCGAATATTGACTTAGTCTTCCCACGATTTTGAGATAATGCTTACTGGAGAAAAATCCTCCATCGTAATCTCGGTTTTTGGGGAGGATTTCGTGGGAAGTTGAAGGCTTCACCCAATATATAAACTAGGTTGAAGCCAACTCTCGAATACACAAAAAAAAATCAATTCTTTCCTTCTATCGATCGCTGCTTCTGAACGTTCTATTTCTTCTCTACCAAATTCTGCATCCATCGTTCTTTATTTCGTTTTTGATCGATGTTCATAAACGAAATGTTTACTGCATCAAATCCTAGGGCTTTGCGACCAGTAGACTCACAGCGAAAAGAGTGGTCGTATAGAACCTTAAAGGACAGGTTTTACCGTGCAGATTACGATTCATCTCCAGTTTAATCAGGTATGTTTTATATTTAGTGCATTGTATTTAATTTCTGTTCACTAAGTGAACAACTCTGCTTCTACTCTTTTCTTTCATTGAATTTATCGCGAAGAATAGATTCAATCTGTGTGAATTGGCACTCTGATGAGGTGTTGTGGGTTCTGAACACTAAAAGGTTTATTTTTTCCTGTTAAAGATTTAAAAGTTTTATAGTGGTAAAACTTTATTTGTTTCATCTTTCTTACTCGAACTATTTTTCAACATCATAACCAATCCCCGTCTTAAAATGCTATAAACCTTACCAGTAACCCAATTTTCCCATCTCTATATGCAAGTACATGCTTTACTATGAGTTGTTTATTCAAATGCTTATCCAGTAAATGCTTACTGTTAAGAGTCAACACTGTAATTTTATTTTACCGGGTAAGATTGTTATTGCTCTTACGGGTAAGATTTTTGACCTTTGCCATATTCATCGGGAAAGGAAAATTAAGCAGTAAGCACTTACCGAGTAAGCGTTCAGTAAATGACCCCTATAATAAACCCCGAAAATAATAATCCCCCCCCCCCTAATGATACAATTTCACGTATGAAAGTCTTGGTCCAACGAGAACCAAACCAAGACACTATTTAACTAAATCAATCCTCTTTCAAGTCGAAACACGAATCCAACTTTTCCATCTCCAAACTACGAGCAATTCGACCAAACTTGTTTTTGGGGTTTAGAGACAACTCGTTTTATCCAAAAAAAAAGAGTTTAATTTTAATTTTAAAGATTCATTATCTTCAAAACATACTTTATAGATGTTGGTACAAACTTAATATACACAAAAACAGACCTAGAAATCAAAACGAATCTTTAAAACCCAATTTAACCTTGAACAAAGAGATCATCATCTTCAAAAGACGTTTTCTGATCTTTGAACCGTAACTCTTGTTGCCCCGATCACCACAATGCCAACGACTGCCGCTAGAATTCAGAATGTTGTGTACAATGGAGATCAAAAGAGAGGAATAAGTAACAAAGAAGGTAGTCGGTCAAAAAGAGCCACACCCATTACGAGATGGCCTAAAGTTTCTTCGACCTTAGGAATCAAATGTATTTACATAAAAAGCTCATCTTTATATGATCCGAACAAAGTTTAGGCATAATGATTACCAAACATGACTTTGAAAAAACTAATAGCATCCACAGAATAATACTTCATGGAACGACATTTTGTATTTTCAGAAAACTTCATGCTAAGCATCTGGTAAAACTCTTGACGGATCTATCATAAGCAAAGCTCATGTCGTTGGCAAAATGCTAATAGTGAAAACATAAGTTCAAATTTGAGCAACCTTACACACTAACGTTATAACAAGTATCTAATAATCTATTGTCCAACGATGCATTTCTAGAAGTATCTAGTATAAAGTATACGCGAATTAAAAGACCATTTGTTCCAGAAGCATATATATATATATATACATATAATACAGTACTCTAACTGCATCGACATAAAATCCACCGCCAATCTTGATTTAGGATTCCACCAAACATTAAGAACAAATATGTCTAGGTTGTATGGCTTACCATGAATCAAAAACTCCTATGAGCTTCTTGAGAGCATAATTGCAGCTGTGAAAAGTGCCTCTTTCCCAAATGGCAGTATCTCTGTGTGCCTGAACAAGAATTGTCAACACCCCAATAACAATCCTCAATTCTTGACCTCATTTTCAATAAATTAATATAAAGACATCATATTTGAATACAAATAAGATGGAGGATTATCAACTATGTCAATGTTCTGGAAATGCAAGTATGCTGCTTTCAAAAGATTATCATGTTAGATAACTTCTGCATAAAGTAACCAACTATCGATACAGCAAGTTAAAGATTATTTGATGCATTTATAACCCCAAATTTTTTTCCTCCATTAGATTTGGTGATTGCAAGCATTTGAGAAAGACAACACACCAAAAACACCAGCACGATACTTACTCATTTGTTTTTTTAAGACATGTGAAGGCTGAGATCATACTATTGCAGATCTCTGGAAGAGAGTTGCCAGCAATGTCTTCCTTATATTCAGTTGAGTGCTGAGATGGTAATGAAATGTATGCCTGATCAAAGACAAAGAAACAAGAAATTGTCCCTCGTGTTAAATGCTGATTTGGTTATTTTTTCAAATGCTATCATAAATTCCACAGAAATTGACCTGAAAAGCTTGTGCTAAAAGCAATTGAGCTACTTCTGTACTAATCTTCTTTACGATGCTTTTTGTGCTGTTTCCATTTGAAAAACACTTTAATACTCCACCAAATGTTGAATCATTTGTTGAACCATTAGACCTCCTGGTGCGAACAGATGTCTGCAACATGGAACTTTAGAATCATAAGAAATCATGAACTTTGCTTTAACAACAGGTTTTGATTTAGGTCCAAATGGGATTAATTCTCCAATTGAAAATTAATACACTACCAAGTTTGGAAACGATATTGAACACAAGAATATTGAATTCTTGGTGTTAAGTTTGAAAATAAATTCAAACTTTAATATACACATAACATGTTTAAAATAGTAACAGAACAAAAATGTATCCATCTCCATAACAAGGGGAGTTGTATTCATGGCTTAGAAAATAATCAGGATAAAAGAAGTAACTGATGGAATGCTTGAACTTCGATATAGTTAACATAGAATTGGGAAGTGTCAACTTACCTTCGGAATGTACTTTAGTAGATACTGAACAATCATATCCAGCTTCAGTCTAGGTTTGTCCAACGCCTAAAAACAAAATCCCAGATTGTCAAAGGAATCTCAAATATAGTACTAAAAAAATTCGCAACGTACACAAACACATAATTTTGAGTACAAAAGAGAAAAATCCATCAATAAGCTCTAATTAAATTGACGGGAAAGCACAAAACTTGCATATAAGAATATGTTTTCTTGCTATTTGCATTGGATGGAGAGTATACTAGGAAAAAACATTAGGTTCTCTTCATTTATACTAATTTTCTCCCATCCTCCTTGTGGATCTCATCTACATTTCTCCTCACATTAAAACCCATATCCACATCTTCATTTCTCCACAGACCATATAAATGGAACCCACAAAATGAAAACGCTAAACCACCAAAATAAGTAGAACTTTAGTATTTGAATAGGTACCTGAAAGAATGGGAATAATATATTTTTGTCATAAGTAAGTTCATCCAAGATAATCTCTATGGCAGGGGTTCTGCATAAATCCAGGTAGCTCAATATTACTGGTCAAATTTTGGGTACATTCATGAATATAACATACTTTGAATTTGGTTACAACAGACAAAAAAGTAAAACTACCTTACACCATCTGCTCTGGTAGTCTGACCCTCCATATCAGCAGCTTTCTTAGATGAATCCAGCTCGATGATCTATTAAAATCATAATGTTATTAAACATGTATTTCGAGTGAATCCATGCTCATGTAAACTCTGAAGTATGAAATCCCTTTATCAACATACCCACCTACCGATCCTTTTTCGGTGGACCTTACTGCAAATAGAAACATACACATACACACAGACAGAGAGCCACAAATTAGTTTACCATCAATAGAAGTTTCTGAACAGCAACACATGTGCACTTTACTATTTCAGGTAAAGCAAGGGCAAAAGCAGTATGACGTTTTCCAGTTACTTCCTCCAATTTAGTTTCTGGAGATCTCACATCATGGCTACAGTCCATAGAAAATTGGGACAGTTCAAAAATAGCAGACAAACAATCTTGGATTAGTCCTTTGTATGCTATCTTCCGTGATACCTGGGACAATGACACAGAAGAAAATGACAAATGTTTATGCTAGCTACCGTTGCATAAAAAGTATTCCAAGCTTACACAAAATAAGGGTACAAATACATGTTACTGACGATACGTTAAAATAAAATAACCAAGAGAAGACTAATATATAGTGCCTACCAGAATCATATTGAGCAACGACTCCCTCACATAGATCCAATCAAAGCTTTCTGCATCAAGAAGAACTCAATTTTTTACTAAGAAAGCTTATGTTATAGACATACTTGCTAAAGTGATTCAAGAACATTAAAAGCCAGTAAGATGATGTTAACCTGAAAAAGCCAGATTACGGGGTACAAAGTCTCCTTCAAGGACATTGACAAGATACTGGAATAGTAACATATTCCTAAGAGGCTGCAATGATTTATGTCAGAATTAAAGAAATATATTAAGATTAATATTTCTATATTCTCTAGAAAACACTTTAATATACAACTGCTAGAGATTATATAAGAATGACATGAAACAATGTGGACAATTAATGGACACACTTGTTGCATGTCTCATGGTAGCACTTTATAAATTCACAAGGAAGAGCTTCACAAGATGGCAATTCATGTAAAAGTTGAGAAATAACCTTTGAGTCTAGTGTTTTGGTATTTGCTTCCTCTGCCACTTTAGCAAGATCTCCTATTAGAAGATGAAAAGCCTGAACCACAAAAAGAAACACAAGTACATAAAAAGATATTTAACCATGCTAATATAGATAGAATTGAAAAAATGGCATCAATCAATGCATTAATAACTCGATACAGTAAACCTACTGCCTTACTCAGATATCTGTCTTACAACTGAAGAAATAAACCACAAAGAACAAAAAAATGAACTTAGCTTACACCTGTAAACTAAATAATGCTCTATCAATCTATGTATGAACAGACAATTGTAACTCACAATGGCATCAAGTGATCCACCAACTTTATCCAAATCTTGTTTCTCACAAGAAGAGACATCTGGGCCAAATGAAAATGGAGACCATGCCTGACATGCACGGAGAACTTAAATCATTCATAATGACATAGGGCTGCAACTCATAGTTATAGGCCGTAAAGAATGGACAGAGGCATGAGGCTTGAGCTACGATTTTTATACCTCTTCCACCACAACTAGTTCATTACGCTGGGGGGAAGAAGGTGAAGATGATTCTGATTTTTCAGCTACGGAAAGAGACACCTGAGGGAAGCGCTACAATGAAGGCAACATTCCCCGATTAAAAATAAATTATAGCAGAATATTTTGGTGACAAAAAGTATAGGTATGAAAAATACCTTATCTAACTCGAGTAAGAGTTGATAGCTTGACATTATCAAATCCAGTGAATTCTCTACTTTCAGAATTTGGAAAATTGCCTTGTACATTTTGCTATGACACCAAATGTTGGTTATGAATAGTCAAACAATACAAATATATATAATTTCAGAATTAGATAGAGTTTATGTTCAACAGCCAATTGTGTTTATATATTACACAGGCAAACATAAAATCTCAACACCACATTAAAACAAGGGTTATATCCAAATCACAAATTCATCATAGAGGTGCAGGTCTTAGTTATAAAGAAACGGGATAAAACTCAAAAAGTGATTATGAAAAGGTAATAAAACCCATATCAGTTATCAAAAAGCAAAAGTTTATTCGACCAACTAAGTCAAGTCCCATATCACGGAATAGAGCCAATTTAACGAACACTTGGTGGGCAAAATTTTACAAATTGAAAGAAAAGGAAAACGAGTTTACTTGGTGGGTGCAGAAGCATTTTCGGGAACAAGGAAACCAGAACGAACAGCTTCAAGAAAAGATAGCCCTACAAACAAAACAACATTTACAAACTGTAAACCCCCCAAGAAATAAATGAATTCAATTTAAGTGATTAAAGATTAGACAAACGGAAAGACGCTACGTACTGTCATCGGCTACATGCTGAGTAGATTTGCTGAAACAAGAAGTGTCGAGGATGGCCATCGTATTCTCTTCCATCCCTCCATCTCCTCGTCTTCTTCGTTTCGTCCCCATTCTTACTCCAGTTTTCTCAAATTCGATTTATGTACTGTACTTGCTGTGTGGTGAAATCGAACTCCCAAAGGTAAAATTATCTAGTTCGATACTTCGATCGGAGAATTGTTGATCTTAAAATCACTCAAATACCTAAGGAACAAAAGTAGAAAACACGAAAACAKCAAAGATATTGTTCTCGTTTTCCCTCCAAAATTTGGTGTTTCACATTCGCCGGGTGTTTGGGGATTGCTTATTTATTTAAGACCAGTTGTGAATCCGCGAAATGTGGCGGGAGCCATGAATTTTAACGATTTTGAAGTTTCACTGGTTTTATAAGATAAGATTTAACAATGATATATGTTATACTTGGTCTTTATATATTAATACAATTTGAATAAATAAGAATTATGGTTCCAATTACAGACTATCGATGAAAAAAATTGCATGACACTTTAAAATACAATATATTTAAAATCCAACATATTTAAGACTTCACAAATATGTTCGATTTACACTAACAGTAAAGAACCAAAAAACTTGAGTTTTAAGATAAACACTCAAAACCAATAAAGAAAACTACAAATTTGACAGATCATAAGCAATGAAAAGACCAAAAAAGTTGGATTTTAGAATGAAATTTCAACTGTTTATCATCTTTCTTGTCCATAAACTTAGATTAAGGTTGAATTAATACATGTATATATAGATATATATATTTCAAAAAAACTCAAGAATATATTAATTCAAAACATATTATACAGTGCAATTTGGACAGCCTAACCCTAAAATATATAGTATATATATAAATAAATATCTATAAAAGTATAAATCGTAAATATTAAAAATATTTTTTCACAGTACATATAACATATAATAATATAATTAAGTCAAACACTATTCAATATTAGACTCATTTTGAAGGCATTAACGAGACGATTATAATGGTGTAAATTATTAAAATAAAAATGTATTTTTTAAACATGTTTTAATTGATATACGATTATGTATATTAATTTGATAAATGTTTAAAATGAAACATTTAAAAGTAAATGACGTAAAATAAATTAATTAACTAATTACAGGGGTATAAAATGTAAATTTAAAATTATAATTCTAAAATAATCGGTATGGGAGAGGGTGAAAAAGTGATATAAAAGGTATCTTGATCATTTAGTATTTTAATACTTTAAGACTTTTGTTAAATTTGTTTTATAAGATAATATAGATATAGATAAACATACATACAAAACTAACATAGTTATGCAACAACACAACCAAATACTTTTCATTCATTTCCTTCAATGTGATATAAGCAAGTCAATAGCATCTTCAACAAAAATTCACATGATTTAGCAAAAATGAACAAATACAGGTCCCATTACTAAACAAAAAAGCATATAACAAACAATGAAAATGCTAATAATGAGGTTATTGAAGGAGAAAATCTACAACTATCATAAAATAAAACTTTCCAGTTAGGGATAAGGGCCAACATCCCATTAGGTGTAGCTTATCAAGCTATATATATATATATATATATATATGTGATCAACAGGTTTTAAAAGCAACAACAAATATTAGGGAGAGAGATGTTTAACCAACATTATCCATAGCAAAGGATTCAAGCCCTTTCCATGACAATGTTTGAAGTTTAAATCTAAACAAACTTGTCATGCAACTGGCAAAAGATACAACCAACTGAAGATTCATAGAAATGATGAATAATGCAAGGAAGTGAAAAGCACAAGTGAAAATGCTTGATTTTTTTAGGCCACTGTTTTTGATCATTGAAAAATTACATTGTCCAAGCTTTGTCCTTCTGAGTTCTGAGTGTCAAGCATTTAATCATCAAATTTTTTAATCAATATACCAATTTTGTCATATTTATCAATTTAGTATAGGAAAAAGATGTTAACAGTGGTGGAACTAACTTTAGAGAAAGGAAAACCAATATCTGTTCAGATCCATCATCTTGATACAATTGGTAGACAAAAACCACATGAAACATCAGCCTTCCATTACTTTCTAACCCAAAAGGTACAAGCCCGATCAAAATCTTCAAAAAGAAGTAATAACAAACAAGCAAGTTGATGCATTAAATAAAAATAGGAACTTAAGAATTTTCCATTATAAAACCAATCATCAGCTAGATTTGGTCCATAAGAATACTTCCAGTTCAAAACAAAGACCAATCAACCATACCAATAGATGAGTTTTATCATCATGTCCGAATGAAGGCAAAAGAAGAATCTTGAAAAAGAGTTACAAGTGAAAGAAATTGTAGAAAGTGGAAGTATTGGTTCCCGTCTTTTAAAAACCAAAGTGAAAATGTACCTTGAATTTTTGCTCCGCCTTCATTCCGAAAGCCAAAGTGGTAGATAGCAGATTTATGGAAAACCAAGACGAAGTGAACCGAGAAGGAATTACAAACCATTAAACTATACACATAACAGTGAATCAACCAGAAGGCAAGAACTTACTTTTGGGGTGAGAAAAACTTCGGGCCACATAAAGGAAGGAGAATAGATGAGTTTTATCATCATGTCCAAATGAAGGCAAAAGCAAAATCTTGAAAAAGAGTTACAAGTGAAAAAAATTGTAGAAAGTGGAAGTATTGGTTCCCTTCTTTTAAAAACCAAAGTGAAAATGTACCTTGAATTTTTGTTTCGCCTTCATTCCGAAAGCTAGAGTGGTAGATAACAGATTTATGGAAAACCGAGACGAAGTGAACCGAGAAGGAATTACCAGAAGCCAAGAACTTACTTTTGGGGTGAGAAAAACTTCGGGCTACATAAAGGAAGGAGAATAGATGTTAGCATGTAGAGGGGTATAACAAAAAGGCTCGGTTGTCAACAATTTTATAGTCAATGATTGAAGAAAACATATCTAAACGGGGTGCTACGGGAAGCATATATTATATTCTAAGAATAAATAATGGTTGTTGTTATCTTAGGCATTTTATCGAACAGTTCATCTACATTAAACCTGGATGAAAATGTACAATAAAGAAACAACAAAGATACACCAAATATGACTGAAAGCAACAGGGAATATCTTACGATTTGTAAGCAAGAAAAAGGTTGTTTGATTGATGAAATCGGTACACATCCAAAGGCTTCGGAAACAACATCATTTACCTCCTTCCCGTCCCTAATCAAAAGTCTGAAAGGAAATGTTGTAGATCAGACATTCAAAATAGGTGAGTAGTAGACAAGAAGAGAATGAATCACCATATTAGGGATTTCTTTTGAATCCAACAGTAGTCAGCATCATGAACGGAGAGAAATGGACGATTTCAAATTTTGAAATCAGTCAATTAAATCAATTGGAAGCCGAAAACGTGTATTGAGCGGGATAAAACAATCTTGAAAATACAAATCCACAGGTGGAAGTGATGGGGAAATGTGCAGCCAATCTTGGGAAGGAGAAAGTTGAGTGATAGGAGGAAACGTGCAACCATTCTTGGGAAGGAGAGTGAGTGAAAGCATTGACAAGTTTTGTGGAGAGTGTGCGATAGAGAGAATCGGTTGCAGTATAATCGTAGAGAGCGTGCGATAGAGAGAGCCGGAGGTTGGGTAGAGTTGTGTTGGGAAGAGGAGAGTTGTTTGGAGTGGTTTAGGGTTTAGAGGCAACCTGATGTGTGAAGGTGTTTCTGCATTAAAGGGTAGTACCTTATGCTTAAAAAAGTTGTACATTTTTATGACTTTAAGACTTTCTGCATTAAAGGGTAGTACCTTATGCTTAAAAAAGTTGTACATTTTTAAGATTTTAAAACTTTCTGCATTAAAGGGTAGTACCTTATGCATGTTAAGGTGTTTTTAAGACTTTGGGCAAATTTGCTTTATAAAGTAGTATAGATGTTTATTGATTTATCTCATTTTAGTCTGGTACTGGCGATAATTTATTTTTATTATTTGGAGCAGAAAAAAAATAAAATTGTTTATACCGGTACCAAACCGGTAATAAGCAGTTTTTGATAAGTCGGTCTTTGCTAACTTATCAAAATCAATTTATGACCGATTACCATTTTAACCTTGTAATACCCTTTCTATACCCTATCCTCAACAGATACGAACCACCCCTTGTGAGAAATCAACAAAACCCTCCCCACCGCCTGTGAGAAGAAATCATCGATCTTCCCTTCGGTTTCTTTCTGTCTCATCATCGCCGGAAACTTTCCCTGCTGATTCGTTCTCCTGCATAACGTATTAAGGTTAGTGATCGATCTTCCCCATTCCGTAGTTATCTGCTAGTTCATTTTTTTTTTCTTATTCTCTCCTCAACAGATACGAACCAAAACCCTCCCTACCGCCTATGAGAAATCATCGCTCTTCCATTCGGTTTCTTTCTGTCTCATCGTCGTCGGAAACTTCCCCGGCTGAATTTGTTCTTCTGCATAACGTATTTTGAGGTTAGTGATTGATCTTCCTTGTTCCGTAGTTATTTGCTAGTTTTTTTTTTCTTATTGTGAAGTGGATTTCTCTCTACTTCAATTTCTGTGGGTTTATCAATTTCTGTGGATTTATCTCTACTTCAATTTTTGTGGAATGCATGTGTTTTGTTTATAAACTGCAAGTTGGATGACAGACCCCTTCAATGGTGATTGCTTAAGTGGTCATCAACATTAGACAATTTTGTGTGTGGAGTGAGTGATTACGCATAGATAAGACTGACCTAATAACTCACAATGAGACTCATGTCATTCGCATGCTGGTTTTGTGTCGAAACTGCTGAGGCAGATAACAAAGGCTTGGTATGCAGATAGTGGGTATCGATAATGCATTGTGAAAATGTCTTGTCCAATCTTCCCAAATTGTATAATCACTTTATTTTGGTCTGCAGCTGGCACATTGTGAGAAGGGTCAACAGAAGCTACGAGTTGAAAATTCCTCACAGAAGCCACTGTAACACGGCATTTGAACAGCTTGAACGACTATGATTAGCTTGAAAGGCTTAATCACTTGGAGGTTGGCTATCATACATGGTGAATTTGCTTCCAAGAAATTAGACCTGTTAAAAAAAAGAAAAGATTTTGCGTATTTAAATATTTTTAATACTCCTAACCTTTACAAAATTGTTTAACTTTGCAAATATTTGAGTATTTGTGGAATATGTAAAATACTTGTCAATAGGGAAACAAAAAGTCTTGCAGACCCAAACCAATGCCATAATTTCGTTTGCAATGATGATAACGATAGAAGTGATAATTTTAACGGAAAATTATGCAAAATTCATGATACGGAGGAAGTACAAGATATACATATATTGATTCTTTTAGTAGCGGAAACTTGCCTCAGTTCACTCAAATGCTTACCCGGTAAGTACTTACCGATAGGAGTCAACACTATAATTTATTTTTCTGGGTAAGATTGTAGTGCATCAAAACAATATAGTATGCAACAATTTACCCGATAAGCGCTTACCCGGGTAAGAGTCTTCACTCTCACTTACTGGGTAAGACTCTCCATCCTTTTACCGTTCTAACCGGGTAAGATTCTAAACTCTTACCATGTTCATTCAGAAAAGAAAATTATCCGGTAAGCACTTATTGGATAAGCGTTTAATAAACGGCCCCTAAGATGTAACTACTTTTGTTTCCTTTAAAAAAAGGATTTGAGAATACAATGCCAGAGGATTGCCACTGGAACTCATTTATAGGACAGACATTAAACCATGTTTGCTGGGATTATCAAGAAGAAAGATAGTTTATGGGGGTGTTTAGAATTACTACATATGTAGACCATTAATTCTTTTCCAAGGATATGATGCTTTTGAGGGGTAAAATTCAATTTTAGTTCTAGATGTGTGGCAGGGAAACAACACTAAGACACATGGCATCTGTGCAAAAGGAAAGAACCAATATTATAGATTCATCATCCAACCCTTCTAATTCCACATATTCTGCCCTGACTCTGTTAGCAGCCCATCTTATGTATTTATAATGGAACAGTAAGTTTATTTTAGATGGTTCAAACAGGTTTTTTTGTAGCCACCCATTTATACAACGTAATGGAAACTGAATACATTAGTGGTCTTCTTATTAACTTTGTTATTCAGGTAATGGATGTGAACAATGCTAACTTTGTTGCTAGTGATATATCGAAAAAGAATAAGCCAAAACTTGTTTGGGATAATACTACCTTTATGGTGTTCATTGATTTGTGCATGAATGAGGTTAAAAATGGGAATAGACCTGGTAGTCACTTCAATAAGCTTGGGTGGGGAAACATAGAGCAGAAGATTAAGAAACGGACAAGAAAATCTTTTGACAAGAAGCAACTTAAAAACAAATGGGACACTACTATGAAGAAAGACTGTAAGTTGTATGATCGTTTAATGATGATTGAATCTGGCATTGGATGGGATCCCGTGAGAAAGACAATTGTTGCATCACTAGAGTGGTGGGACGAAAAAAATAAAGGTAATACTATTTTATATACATTCTTTTGTTTTCTATTACTTTTTCATGATTTCCTAGTGAAATTTGCTAATAAGAGCCATTAACACACATGACAATAAAGATCTTGCCAAGTTTAGGGATTTAAATTTGGAGATTTATCAAGTGTATTATGAGCCTTTATTTCGAGATTCCGTTGCCATTGGAGACAGTGGCGAATGCAGAAAAATATATTGTAGGGGGCATGATATAAGATAAAATAATAATTAACTTCAATTTCATGCAAAAATGATAAAAAGTTACCTCTTACAACTGTGCCATACGACTCTTCATCATTGAGTAATTACATCATCATCTGAAACTGCGAAAAGTGCTTCTTTTTCTATAGTACATATCATTGCAGCATTCAAAAATTCATCACCGAATTTGTTACGTAAATCTGACTTCACAATCTTCATAGCAGAAAAACATCTTTCGATTGTTGCGGTAGCAACTGGCAAAACCAAAGCCAACTTCAATAACCGATATACTAGAGGATAAGTTTTATGCTTTTTTGTTTCCACTAACAATCTAGCGAGCTCGACAATACCACTCAAATTGGCAAATCTTTCATCTTGACGCACAATCAAATAGTACATGTTAAGTTGTTTCCCAAGAGCGATCCTTTCCATATGACTAAAATCTTGAGAATACAACTCACTCAACTTCAATAAATCTGATACATTGAACTGCGAAAATGAATTGCATGGACTCAAAGCTGCTATATTTTTAAGCAATTCAATACTTACCTCACTAAATCGATCCCTAAACTCTTGAATTTGCATGTCCACAACAGTGTTGAAAATATCAAACTTGTAATAATGACGATTGGTGATGTTGGTTCTTTGTCTTCCGTTTTTTGAATAATGGTCTTCCATATCCAAAGCTTCAATACCATTTGCTTCACAAAAAGAATACATTTTCTTCAAAAGTAGATCAAAACCAGTTTCTCTAAATTGTTGCAATAGTTGTTTGGTTCCTCTTATCAATGCAACCGTTTCCAAAATATCTTGATCCTTTTTTTGAAGAGCCCGTGACAACAAGTCTGTGACCTCTAAAATATGAAACATCAAATGCAAATAAATCACGAAATCAAATGTCTTCAAATATGCTAAAATACCAATTGCTTGAGTGCGACTAAAACCATTATCCCCGTCCTCTTCAACATACCGGAGCACTTCAACAACATTCGGAAACAAAGTAATCAAGCTCAAAATGGTTTTGTAATGAGAACCCCACCGTGTATCTCCGGCTCGTATAAGAGAAAGCTCTTGGTATTTCCCTGTTCTAGTATCAATTTCACACTTACCAATTGCTTCTTGCACTCTATCTTTGTAACTTTGTCCAAGCATGTCTTTACGCTTGCAAGAAGCATTCACCACATTGATCACCATTCCTAACATATTAAAAAAGTTTTCAACTCCGTCATGTTTATTTGCAACTGCCACAACAACTAATTGAAGTTGGTGAGCAAAACAATGGATATAATATGCCGAGCTATTTTCGTTCAAGATCAAGGCCTTTATCTTATTGAACTCACTGCACATATTGCTTGCTCCGTCATAACCTTGCCCTCTTACGTGTTTCAAACTCAATCCATGTTCAGCAAATAAAGTATCAATGGCAGATTTAAGAATTGAAGAAGATGTCCCCGTCACATGAACAATACCAAAAAATCTCTCCTTAACAATACCATGTGCATCAACATACGTAAAACCACCGCCATTTGTTCCTTCGTAGAAACGTCACTAGACTCATCAACTAGCAATGAGAACACATAATCACCAATTTCTTTACGAATGGATTTGAGTATTTGATTTGCAAAACAAGCAGCAATATCTTTTTGAATACTTGGAGACACAATTTGATTATTCTTTGGAGCATTTTTTAGTATAACTTTACCTACATCCTCGTTGCAATCACCAATTAAGGCTAATGTTTCTAAGAACATGCCTTTAGAAATAGACATTTCAGATTCGTCGTGACCACGAAAGGGCAATGCATTATTCAACAAGAATCTACAAGCCTTAATTGAAGCATTTAATTGTATTCGATTCTTATTCTTCTCCTTCTCAGTTTGCTTATGAAAGGCAACGACAATATATCGATCTTGGCTCATTAGATCCTCACCTTTCTTAGGTGCTCTATTGTAAAAACTATTAATATCGCCAACATGAAGACCAAGTCTCTCCGTTTTATTCCAACTATTAAAACCATATGTGACAAAAGCATCACTCCCACATTGTCCTACGTAATGATCTCTAAACAAATAACAACACAAACAAAAAGCTCTATCCGTTTTTACACTATACTTCAACCAATTAGCGTATTAATCAAACCAAGTCGGACAAAACGTCTTCCTTTACTCCTGACATATTTTTTTGGAAATGCATGACCCCGTGGTTGACAAGGTCCTCTAAGCAAGTATTTTCTTCTTATTTCATCCCTTTGATTAGGATGATATTCCAAAATCTTTTTCCTATCGGCTGGATCCCAAGGAAGATCGTGCAAATCAATTTCATAGGACATCGAAGGAGCAGAGCTCGATTCAGGTTTTGATGCTTTCCTTTTAAAAAATCTTTCCATTTTTTCTAGCAATAACAATAACAAGATAAAAATCAATGGTTTATCTTTATCAATAGTAATATTTCCATTTGCCTACAAAATTGCAAAATTAACCTAACATTTCCATTTGTCTATAAAATTGCAAAATTAACCTAACATAAAGCATTTACCAAATCATCAATTGTGAAGCAAACAACAATATCAAAGTCATTCAAAATTAAATATTGGAATTTGGAAATCAAAAATTTTACCCACATCAAATTAGAGACTGGAATAGGCAAGAAGTAGGGAAGAAGCAACCAAATTTTTTACCCAAATCAAATTAGAGACTGCACACTGCACGCAGCCTCGCAGGGAAAAAGCAGCCAGGAGCCAGCGCCCAGCCGACGACCGAAGAAGAAGAAGCAGGAAAGCAGCTTAGTAGCCAGTCGCACGATGCACCGCCTGCACACATGGAAGAAGCAGATGCACGTAGGGAAGAAGCAGACAACTGGGCAAGCAACGATGTGCGTTGACACAGTCGACTCGTAGCAGTGGCCAGTGGTGAAGTCGTTCGTGAATCGTGAGTTCGTGACCGTGAAACATGAATGTGATTGTGAAGGAAGGAAATGGAATGGGGCCTTTATAATTATTTTTTTGGGGGCCCAAACCAAATTAAGTTAAAAACTATAAACAAATTTTTTTTGGGCTTTCTACACTACATTTTGTTGGGGGCCCAGGACCCTAATAAGTCTATATGCATCCGCCCCTGATTGGAGATAAGACTAAGGCTCCCGTTGAATGTCAAAACAATAGCGGTCCAACTAATGTTGAAGATGAAGAAGATCATGAGGGAAAAGAGATAGTGATGAAGTGAATTTAGGCGACGATGATAAACATCTTTTCCTTCAGAGTAGTTCGAGTAAAAGGAAGAAGCCGAACAATGTCACACCTACCCGTTCAACCAAGGGAAAAACTTTTGTAACTTCCTCATTTGAGGATAAACTAGGTAATGTATTGGACGCACTATCATCACGAAGCACACAAACTTTTTCATCACAAAATAATTACTCACCAACGACACAAGAATGCATGGACATTGTGACATGTTTTCCAGGATTTGAAGAAGGTTCAAAGATGTATAGTCAAGCATTATACATCTTCCTAAAAAAACAAGTCTGTGAAAATTTTATGGTTCCAAAGACACACATGGCAAGGATGGAGTTTCTTAAGTTACTTATGGAAGAATGATTCATATCATGTTTTCCCCATTTAATTTTATCTATCCCTTTTTAGGATGATGTTTCACATTATCGTTTAATATTGTGATATTATGTTTTCAACTGGTTTCATATATTGTATTATCGTTTGACATTATGTATGACATTTGACATTATGTATGGCGTTTGATATTATCTATCCTTTTTATATGCGTTTTTAATATGTTTGATTTTTTTAATCTATTAATAGGATGAATAGTGATGACTCTGATTCGAATGATGATAATGAAATAAATTGGGTAAAAGAGGAGAACATATTGCTACTATCATGTACAATAACTATCAAAGGGATAATAATAAGTCATAAATTGAATAGCACGCATGCCTTGCCGCACATCTTCTCGCACATGAAACATATTTATTAATGAAGTACTTAACGTTGCTATGAAGATTTTAGACTACATGTCCCAGTAGTCAAAATGTTATGTTCAAATCTTGCTACACGTTACGGGTTAAAGTTAACATGTAATATATGTATTGAGGAGTCTGTTGGCATTTTCTTGATGACTTTAGCACATGGGTATGAGAATAGGTTAATTCAAGAAACCTTTAATCATTCTGGAGAGACTATTCATAGGCATTTCCATGCTGTTTTGAAAACAGTGCTTAAGTTAAGTGCGGACATCATAAAGCCAAATGCAAATTACAATGAAGATGTACCTGCACATATTTTAAATAAGCACTTTTACAAAAAAAACATAAGTTGTTTTAAAGAAGCAATCCCAAACACCCCCTAAGTGTCCAGGTCTCAAGTTCAACCCCAAAAAAGTCCAGTGTCTTGTTAAAAGATCCGGCTAAAGCACAGTTTTGAGTTGAAAGCTCGGTCCGGTTCAAGGCCAAAAAAAATTCGAATAAAGCCCGCTGAAACGAACCGTTGTCGAACCCAAAAAACCTGGAGATAATTACTTCGTCCTTTCTAGTTGTTTTTTTTGTCTTCTTCCACCTCATTAAACGTTTTAAAATAAGAAAATTAATTAAAATAGTCAATTTTGTTTTATGATTTTGCCACTTGGTCATTTCTCTTCTAAAATCATCAAAATGTTACTTGGTCCGCAAGTGGCGACTCTGTATTTTATGGAGGGATCAAAGTGTAAAAGTGTAATATTCTAGTTGTTATATATATATATATATATATATATATATAGAGGAGCGTTCAAATGCGAACCCTCTCCGTTTGTGTAAACCGTGTGAACCAATCTCAACCATYCATTTTCTTGATCAATGGTCAAGATTTGTAGGCTTTATTTATGGAAATTAAAAAAAAATAAAAATAAAAATAAAAATTCAATTTATTTAATCAATAAGGGTATAATGGTAAACATAATTAACAATTCCTAAGCTCCTAATCGCAATCTTTCAACAGAATCCTGTCTTCATCGCGAACATTCCCAAATCACTGCAAAGGTATCACTTCTTCCCAATCGAATATAGTGTTTCCAAAATCATCGATCATCAGCATATTCAAGAAAAATGGTCGGCAATAATGGAGGTATGTTATATTAATTCATATCGTTTTCGATTTTTCAGAACCCTAACAGTGATTTTGGATCTAATTGTCGCCTGTAATCCCTTGATCTTTCACAGGTCGGAGGCGTTATAGCCATAGATTGAGGGAGATGCATAGTTTTTCGAAGTTTACTAACAACAAAGACAGACCAGTTGAGCTCGATGATGAAGGTATCGACATTGAGTTCGTTAACCAACAAATGAAGAAGAGGGGGAAGAAGAGAGTCGTGCATGATTCTACAGGTAACATATTTCTGTGTTTTGCCTCTTAAAGATGTAAGTTTGTGTAATACATGATTTTGCCTCATGATGAATGTATTTCATTAA